TGAAAATAAGTACAATGTAGCATAGTCTTATTAAACTATATAGTGCCACAATTCTAGAAGAGGTATACAGCTATGCTAAACTTTCTCAAATATTATTACATTTTTATTTCTGTATTATCCTAAACAATTGTCCATCTTCATTTAATGAATGTGTCATGCACGGACAGTTAAAAAATGTGTTTAATATTTCTATTCCACGCAGCAGGCAACATTTCTGCAGCTTTATTTTAGACTCTTTAGAGCTCCTTTAGTGAGTCGTTTTATGAAACCGCAAGCAATCAACAACAGGGAGGAAATTATAGTAGTCCCAGAACAGTTGCCATGGTAATCAGAGCTTTAAAGTTTTAAAAATCCATGTCATTTATATCATACATGAATTTCTAATGTTGTGCTCTATAAAGATTCAGATTTAATTGAATATATGACAATGTGATGTATAATCTTATAATTCTGCAACATTGTTATGTTAACGTTGAAGCTTAGGTACGGCAATGGTATGTATATGCCATACCTGTGGCATCCTGATGGAAGCTAGAAATCACTATAGTGGGCACTTCTACTACAGCGATTGCCACTAGCTTTTGGCTACCCTGCTGCATTGTGAACACAGGAGGTCACTCAGCATGAGCGCCATTTAGAGAACATTTTGAATTGTTCCATGAATGCAAAGCATTCTCTGATTGAGCGAGGTGGAAAGGTGAGCAGTGATGTCATGATCTCCACCTTGTCCAATCAGAGAACACTTTGTCTTCATTCAGCAGATGCAACTTGTTGCCTGAATGGCACCTGTGCCAAGCAGATGACCTCTTGTCTTAACAATGCCTCTCAGCTCTGGATTTGGAAGCTTCTACAGGGATCCTACAAGTATGGTGGGCAGCACAGTGGCTAAATGGTTAGTACTTCCGCCTGGCAGTACTAGGGTCGTTTGTGTTTAGAAGCATTTTTTTAACTGTTCCACATCCAAATGCAGTCCAGAGCCTTTTTTCATCATCAGAAATGCATGCAAAGCGTTTTACATGTATTCAAATGGACCTAGCACACCAGCGCAGTCAGTTCCAGGTTTTGCATGAAGGAAAAAATGGTAGAACGTGCCGCATTATGCTCATGATGGGATCCCTAGTGAATACAACCAGAAAAAGACAGGTCATCTCAACACATACTGCTCTCTCCGCTTCTGTCTGAAATAGTTACTGTTTGTGCATTCTGTGCATTTTGGAAGGTCTCCTGAGGTTATCTTAAAAAAATGCTTATAAACGCACTATGCAAACACGGCTAAACAGACGTTTTTTAACCTACATTTTCCAGCAGTCAGTTTCCATCGTTCGGAAGTGTTTTCTAAACGTCCCGTGTACATGGAGCCTTATTGGGGCTTCACTGGTGAAATCTCCATTTAGTGCTCTAATTTTTCTATTGACTATTCTACTGTAATGTAATGGAAAGTGAAGCTTTAGGTCAGTCTTTCTCAATCTTTTCAACTCAGAGGAACTCTTGAAATAACTTTCCAATCTCAAGGGACCCCTCCTAAAGATTACTATATCTATAGCTCATGATACATTAGTAAGATGGTCATTGGGAAGAATGCTCCTTACAATTGTAGTCATTAGGAAGAAATACCCCCTTATATAGATAGCTAAAAAGATCAATGACATCAGTGGGAACTTATCTGAGAGGTAAAAATTGCTCATTGCTCAAGGAACCCCTACTAACCTCTGGAAGAACCCTAGTTGAGAAACCATGCTTTAGGTAAATAGCTAAAAACATATAAGTACCTTACATGCTATAAAATGTGAAGCCCCGTTCATTCTTGCTACTCATTCATCTCTATCACAAATCACAGCCAGTTCCCTAAAGAACTATCTGCGGTCAAAGCAATATAGCTTTTTCAAGGTTGTGGCTTGATAGTTTGGGGGTAGTGATTCATTAATGAGGTTATCATAGTTCTCTCTCATCTTATTAGTAAGCATGCAATGTTAGAAAGTCAGCACTATTTAATGTAATAAAGCCTAACTAAAGCTGGACATAGAGAGATGGAAAATTCTGCCAGTTCAGCAGGGACGATAGATTGACTTCTGTCAAACAGACATGCTGAAAAACTTTGTCGATCAGCAGCTGCAGCAGTGGAGAGAAGGTGTCAGTTAGTGGTATGAGCGGAGAGAAGGTGTCAGTTAGTGGTATGAGCGGAGACAAGGTGTCAGTTAGTGGTATGAGGGGCGTGAAGGTGTCAGTTAATGGTATGAGCGGTGCCTAGGTGTCAGTTAGTGGTATGAGTCAGCCACCTAGCAGTCTCTAGTCAGTTACCTGGCAGTCTCTGGTCAGTCACCTGGCAGTCTCTGGTCCAGTCACCTGGCAGTCTCTGGTCAGTCACCTGGCAGTTTCTGGTCAGTCTGTCAGCTCTCCCCCCCCCCCCCGTAGTATACATGGTATACACAGCAGTAGGCATGGAGATCACTCACCAGGCAGAGCGGGGCGAGACCGAGGGGGGGCATGTATTTCCCTCGCAGCCGCATTTCCCTTCTCTCTTCCACCTCTGTGACAGAGATCCCTGTCTCTCCTGGACACTGCCGTCCTCTGGGATCATCACTCAGCCCTGGCTCCCCACCGCCATCCACTGAGGAGAGCTCCGACCCTCAGAGCAGCCTATAGCCTGGCCGGGCGCACTGGATGCTGGGAGTTGTAGTCCTTCCTGCGCACAGCCTGTCGGGATTGTAGTTCGGGGCGGCAGGGGAAGGACTACAACTCCCAGCATGCAGTGTGCCCGGCCAGGCTATAGACTGCTCTGAGGGTCGGAGCTCTCTGCAGTGGATGGTGGTGGGGAGCCACTGCTGAGAGTTGATCCCAGATGACGACAGTGTCAGGGGGAGGCATGATACTCCTACTCCTCACTGGATTCCTGCAGTGACATCAAAGACGTCCCTTCTTCCGAGGCGCGGCGCCACCCCCCTGTATAGTGCCACCCTAGGCAAGTGCCTTGTTTGTCTTGCGGCAAATACGCCCATGACAATACGGCGTACACTGCAGAGGAATGACATGCATGTGTGTCGTCCACAAAGGAAGGCTTTCCTAAAGCCCATGCAAAAAAAAGCCAGCTTAGAATTTGCCAGGGCCCATGCTGAAAAAGAAGCCTACTGGGATGGTGTACTCTGGAGTGATGAGACCAAGATAAGTGTTTTTGAAACTGATGGCTTCAAAGCTGTATGGCATCGCAAAGGTGAGTAGTGCAAAGAAAAATGCATGGTGCCTACAATGAAACATGGTTCTGGCAGTATCCTTCTGTGGGACTGCATGAGCACAGCTGGTGTCGGGGAGCTGCATTTCATTTATGGTATCATGAATTCATGGATGTTCTGCTCTATATTGAAAGAGAAGATGCTACCATCACTCTATGCCCTTGGTTGTCGTGCACTTTTCTGACATGACAATGATCCAAAACACACATCTAAGGCCACTGTTGCATTTCTGAAGAAGAACAGAGTGAAAGTGATTCTGTGGCCAAGTATGTCTCCTGATATGAACCCAATGGAACACCTATGGGAAATTCTGAAAAAACAAGTTGAGCATCACTCTCCATCCAGCATCCAGGCTCTAAAAGAGGTCATTCTTGAAGAATGGAAAAAGATAGATGTTGCAATATGTCGGCAACTTGTTCATTCCATGCCTAGAAGACTCAGTGCTGTCCTTACAAATCATGGAGGTTATACAAAATACTAGACGTAGTAGTTTTTGTTGTGGGGTGTATTCATTTTTGCATCAACTCATTTGAGTAAAACCTAAGATTTTGTAAACTAAGTTATATTATTAACCTTACTTTCATGTAATGAGCTATAAAAACTATAAAACTAAGTTTTGACAAAAGTTTGGAAATTGTCCTTGTGTTCATTGAGATGTTGATTAAAATCTTACTTTTCAAAAGGGGTGTACTCATTTATGTTGAGCACTGCATGTACTATAGTTCTAGACATACAGTGACTACATAAAGTGACTGCTCCATGCATGTTCATTCCAGACTCCTCTAATACGTGTGACCAGCCGTATCCCCTGCAGGGACCATATTCACCAGAGGTTGTTGACCCCCTAAATGTATACCAAGGGAAGGTCAATAAGTGCTTTCACACAGCCCTGTTGTGTAACATGTCATCCATGGAACCGATATTCTCAATTCCACATAATCCATATATGGAGAGGAAGCCAAGAAAACTCCATAGGGTATTATCGTTTATTAAAATCTCAAGCAAGATTAAAAAAGTTTACACTCACTATGTATGGTGCCTAATCTGACACCCAGAATGATCTGCAAAAGCTTTGTGTGGAGATGCCGCCACTCCTATTTGCACAGGAACTATGCCGGCTGGAGCCCGCTGTCAAAATACAATAGGTGCAATGGAAGAATCATCCACCTGCACTGTTAGCTATTTGTGTATGGACAGCTTACATCTGCAGTGATCAGGAGACATTCAAGTCCCAAGTCTTTTAACATCTTCCTTTTACAATCAGTAAGGTCCTTCTTTGTGTGTAGACAAAGACTGCTGGTAAAACACTTCCAGGAGTGTTAATTTCCTGGCTCACCTGCAGTGCTCACTGGTTCCTTCCACCAACTTGTACTGCAATACTGCATCCTGAACTTTACTACTGCATCTTGTACTTGACTACTGCATCCTGTACTGCAATACTGCATCCTGCTGTGATGTGAAAGTCACCAGGAGGAAAGAGTGAGAATGTGGGAGACAGGAGATTGGTTAATCTTGGTTTTCCAGCAAACTTTGCGGAACCATTCTTCATCAATAGTGAAATGCAGTGCCTCCAGCAGTAGGGGAGGTAATCATTTACACTCCCCCTCTGTTAGCAAAATGTTTTGACCAGGTACATTTTTATGACAGGGTTGCTTCAAGGTATATTTTGTGGGTGCAAGGTCTGTAGTACACAGGGGCGGACTGACCATTTGGAAACTCGAGCACTGCCCGAGGGCCCGGGGTCAGTAGGGGGCCCCATGAGATGTCCGATACCTTTTTCATAGGCTTTTTTGAGTTTGGCAAGGACACGGGGGCCCCATGATCCCCTATTGCCCGGAGGCCCCATGAGTTGTCAGTCCGCCCCTGGTAGTATGTGTTCAATTTACACCATGTATACAATGAGTAGGATAAGGCAGTTAACCTAGCACCTTGGGGCCATTCAACACACAAGGCAACCTTTAAAAGGATAAAATACATACTTTTCTGACAGTCTGGGTGTTGAAAAGCCATCACCTTGCAGCTCCCCAGCTGCTGCATATACACTATATTGGAAAACGTATTGGGACACCCTTCAAATCATTGGATTCAGGTATTGCAATCATCTTCATGGCCACAGGTGTATAGAATCAAGCACCTAGGTATGCATACTGCTTCTACAAACATTTGTGAAATAATGGGTCGCTCTCAGCTCAGTGAATTCAAACGTGGTACTGTGATAGGTTGCCACCAATGCAATAAGTCCATCTGTGAAATTTCCTTGCTACTAAATATTCCACAGTCAACTGTTAGTGGTATTATAACAAAGTGGAAGCAACTGGGAGCAACAGCAACTCAGCCACAAAGTGGTAGGCAAAGTGCTGAAGCGTACAATGTGCAGAAGTCGCCAACTGTCTGCTGAGTCAATAGCTAAAGACCTCCAAACTTCGTGTGGCCTTCAGATTAGCACAACAGTGCGTAGAGAGCTTCATGGAATGGGTTTCCATGGTTGAGCAGCTGCATCCAAGCCCTACATCACCAAGTGCAATGCAAAGCATCAGATAAAGTGGTGTAAAGCACATGGCCACTGGACTCTAGAGCAGTGGAGATGTGTTCTCTGGAGTGACGAATCGCGCATCTCTGTCTGGCAATCCGATGGACATGTCTGGGTTTGGCGGTAGTCAGGAGAATGGTACTTGGCTGACTGCATTGTGCCAACTCTAAAGTTTGGTGGAGGGGAGATTAAGGTGTGGGATTGTTTCTCAGGGGTTGGGCTTGGCCCCTTAATTCCAGTGAGGGGAACTCTTAAGACGTTAGCATACCAAGACATTTTCAACAATTTCATGCTCCCAACTTTGTGGGAATATTTTGGGATGGCCTTTTCCTGTTCCAACAAGACTGCGCACCAGTGCACAAAGCAAAGTCCATAAAGACATGGATGAGTGAGTTTGGGGTGGAGGAACTTGACTGGCTTGCACAGAGTCCTGCCCTCAACCCGATAGAACACCTTTGGGATGAATTAGAGTGGAGACTGCGAGACATGTCTTCTCATCTGACATCAGTGCCTGACCTCACAAATGCACTTCTGTAAGAATGGTCAAACATTTCCAGACACACATCAAAACCTTGTGCAGCATGTAAGAGCCACATCACTCATGGTATATCATTGAAGCCTCCTGTCAGTGTATCTGCTTGACTGTACATCCTGTCCGGCAACCAGATATTCTGATAGGTCTGCAGGAGACCTGCATGGCATCAGAGATCTACTGATTGCTGGTGCAATGCTTTCCAGGCTCCTGTAGAGAAATAATAAATGCATATTTTTTTACCTGCAAAAAAAAATGTGCATTTATTATTTTTGTCTAAAAGGTGTACTTATCCTTTAACCACTTGCCAACCGCGCTATAGCCTAATGACGGCTACAGCGCGGTTGTCCAGTTCTGGGAGGGCGTCATATGATGTCTTCCCAGAACGCTGCCATCCTGCACGCCCCCGGCGATCTTCGTGATTGCTGTCCTACGGACACAGATGATCATGTGATGAGGTAAAAGGCCAATTACAGTGGCCTTTTACCACGTGATCAGCTGTGTGTAAATGACACAGGTCACAAAGTAAATACAGTTGCTGGTGATCGGCTGCACTTTCCTCATGCTGTCACAAAGTGAGGAAAGTACTGCTGATAACAGGCAACTGTCAAAGAGCAGATTGGCACTGATCATCACGGCAGTGCCTCCCACCAGTGCTGCTCAGAAATGTAACCCAGCAGTGCAGCCTATCAGTGCCCATCATTGCTGCATATCAGTGCCTCATCAATGCCCACTAGTGCCACCTATCAGTGCTGCCTATCCGTGACATTTCACCACTGCCCATCAATGCTGCCTATCAGTGCAGCCTGGCACATCAGTGAAGGAGAAAAGTTACCCGTTTGCAAAATTTTATAATAGAAACAAAGAAAAACTTATTTTTTATGTTTTTGTTTATAGTGCAAGTGGTGATTAAATACCACCAAAAGAAAGCTGTTTGTGTGAAAAAAAATGATAAACACTTCGCATAGGGGCAGTGTTGCATGACTGCGCAGTCGTCATTTAATGTGCGACAGCGCTGAAATCTGAAAATTGGCCTGGGCACGAAGGGGGTAAAAGTGTCAAGTATTGAAGTGGTTAAAGGAATGAAAGCCAATGAATGAAAGGAACGGGCCAGGGAGGACAGCGATGAATGTTTGAAGTCGTCCAAGCAGGCTGTATCACCCGTTCTGCAGCTTATGTTCAGTGTAAAGCGTTTCCAGTGAAATTCCAGTGAGCACGTTCAGCATAGGATCAGAAATGGATGACTGCTGTGCAGGCCGAAGTTCAGCTTTAGCCTTCATTATGCAGCGCCCACAGAGGGCCGCATCCACCGCCTCTTATAGAACCTGCTCTCCTATGGGCGACTTCTACCGGCCTCGTGTATTGTTTTGTGAACGTGATTATTGAAGAGAAGCAGCCCTATCGGTGCCCCGACACCTCGCCTACATTATCCTGCTCTATACAGCTCACAAAGACAGACCTCATCGCCCCCTCCCTCTCTCTGTACATTCCCATGTCCCAGTCCCGTGGTGTAGAGCTCAGTTCCGGTCACATGTAGCCACTGTTGTGCGAGTGGAGCCTCGTGACCCGGAAGTGCTGTGTGTGGAGGTTTTGGCGCGCTGGTTGTAGGCTCAGAAATCTGTCAGAGACGTTAACAAGTAAGTGTGTTCTCTATGACTTGATCCCTTATCACTGAGCGCTGAATATCCAACTGCTACCTAAGAAGTGCTGTATACAATAGTAAGGAAAGTAGACTGCCTGTGGTTTCTGTTTGTTCCGGTCATTGAAGTGTAGCTGTTGTTGTCCTGTCCTGAGTAGGTTATCATTCACTAGGAGAATTTACAAAGCCTGGAGCAGCTGTACATGACAACCAATCAGCTTCTGTCTTTCATTTTCAAAGCTTAACCACTTGCCCTCCAGAGGATTTACCCCCCTTCCTGACCAGGCCATTTGTTGCGATACAGCGCTGCGTTACTTTAACTGACAATTGTGCAGTCATGCAACATTGCACCCTAGTGAAATTTTTCTTTTTTTCCCCACTAATGGAGCTTTCTTTCGGTGGTATTTGATCACCTGTGTGCTTTTTATTTTTTGTGCTACAAACAAAACCTGACAATTTTGAAGAAAAAAATATTTTTTACTTTTTACTATAAAACACGCAGTAAAAAATAAAAATTCTTCATAAATTTAGACAAATGTATTCTGCTACATGTCTTTGCTAAACAAATACTTGGAAATTAATTTGATTATGTGAAAGTTAGTTTCTGCAAATGGATGGGGATATATATATATATATATATATATATATATATATATATATATATAATTTTTTTTTTTTTAAATACTAGTAATGGTGGAGATCAGCAACCCAGAGCAGGACTGCGGCTGGCATTCTGACACTGGGTAGGAACTGTCACTGACATCCCCAGTGACGCTAATACAGTGATCAGTGCAAATAAAAGGCACTGACACTGCACTGAGCAGGAAGGGGTTAACATCTGGGGTGATCAAAGGGTTAACTGTGCTGTGTTTTATTAGGAAGGCTGTGCAGAGCAATACAAACCAGCATGCTGGTGCTGATAGGGGAGAGATCTGTATTGTTTACATACAGACTTCTCTCTCTCCCCCCCCCCCCCCCCAGATCAGTGATACTCTGCAATTGCAGGGTGCTGGTGAGGAATCTCCAGCTGGGACCTGGTGATCAACAGCTGTAGCCACCAAAGGCGATTCTTGTAGGGCATTTTTATTTAAAAAAATTCCCACACCCAAGCCAACATATAAATTGGCAAGTACACATCAGAGTAGCAGTTCTTGAGTTTCCTAACACAGCTCAGTGTTGTAAAAGATGACCGTGAAATATAATGGAGGGAAATTTATCAAAACTGTAGCAGCTGAGCATGACAACCAATCAGCTTCTATCTTCAGCTTGTTCATTATAACTAAAGGCAACTTTTTTTTTTTTGTTAGTTTTGGATAGAGTGGAGAGGGATTACAACATATGTCAGCTTTTTTTTGTCCTGTTTTTCACAGAAATTTTGTATAAACACTAGAAGAGAAAGAGTTGAAATCTTTCAATGGGGGCACTAGTTCTGGTTAAACCCTGAGATTACTTCACTTTGGAGAGATTTTCTCTCGCTTGCTGTTTTAGCTATGTGGCAGAAAGTGAAAGAAAATCTCCCCAAAGGGACACATCCCTCTTCACACAGCACAAAATAACAGAGATGATGCTGTTACATCACAGGCTGTGTGTTGAAGCTCCCTCCTGTCACCCTTTTTCTTTTGGTGTCAGGAAAGCTTGTAAGAAGTGACTAATGCTGATAGAGGGACAAGGCAGCATCTGATTTGTTGCACTTCAGTTGTGGTGAAAAAAATCCTGATTGCTGCATTTTGGTGTGTGTTTGTTCAGTTAAAAAAAAAATGCACCAAAAATGCATCCTTCCATTGAAATGAATGGAAATTGCAGCAAAAAAGCAACGCACCTGTGGGATGTGCTTTGTCCAGTGGGAAAAATTGCAACACCAAACGCATAAAAAAAAATGCATGAAAAACACATGCATTTTTTTTCAGCACAGCAGTGTGAAAGTAGCCTTAGTGCTCTGGACTGAGACAACTACACACTATAGAGGGATATACTTTTTTCATGTTTCATGTCTGAAGTTTACAGCCACTTTAACCGCTTCACCTCAGCGCTATAGCAGACGTACTGCTCCAGGGGGGCAGGGCTGCACAAAATCATGTATATATGTTAACAAAAATGTTGTATTTACTAGACCTTTGCGATAATATTGTGCGACATAAAACATTGGAATTAACACTATTTTATTCTTTGTGTCTGCTGTCAGAAAATATATAATGTTTGGGGGTTTTGTGTAATCTTCAGGCCTAAAATGGTTTTTTTAAATGTGTGCAAAAAAAATGCAAAGTGGTTCTGACAGCGAAAAAGTTCACCTTGTGGGAAGAAAAAAAAAATACACTTTTTTCAGTAGATCGTGGGTGCAATCTCAGCCTCCTGTAGACACTCTGCGTAACTGTCTGCCCGTACCTCGTAGAGGCAGGCAGTTACCCAAGGGCAGGAAGCTCCATGGTCTACAAGAGCACTTACCAGCACCCTCGCAGTTCATTGAGAACTACAAGCCATCAGCCACAAAGGATGATGGTACTTGTAGGCATTTATTCACAGGAAACTGCCATGTGGGTGGAGCCCGGTGCAGCTGTGTTACTTTCAAATTGTGATAGCAGGTGTGGGGAGAAGATTCCCAGTTTCAAAGGAACGAGGGGAGAGGCTGCAGTTGCTGGAACATTTTCCACTCTAAAAATACTAGAGATGCAACGAAATCTCAGCCACTGAAACATATCGACCGAAAATGGCTCTATTGGCATTCTGCCGATAGGAAATATTTAGCCGATACTGTGGGACTGTTTGTACTGCAGATGTGAGGGGGGGCGGAGAAAGAGCACAAAGAAACAGGAGAGGAGCAGTGTGTACAGTGACTGGCTGTCACTGTATTAGTTCCGATTTTTAAATGCAATTGCTGTTTTTTTTTTTTTTTCTTTTCACTACAACTCAGAGAATTAGCTGTCACTTTCCCCGAGCTAAAAGAAACAAAGTTTCTTTATAGTTTATTTCCCGAGCTAAAAAGTTTTTTTCTTTTTAGTTTCTTTCCTGAGCTTAAAGAAACAAAGTTTCATTCCTTCTCTGAGCTATGGTGAAGAAAAAAAAAAAAGCTGGCAATTGCATTTAAAAACCGGCACTGACATATAGGGGTTTATTTACTAAAGCTGGAGAGTCCAAAATCAGACTCCCTTCTGCATAGAAACCAATCAGCTTCCAGGTTTCATTGCCAAAGCTTCATTGAACAAGCTGAGGTTAGAAGCTGATTGGTTTCTATGCAGAAGGGAGTCTGATTTTGGACTCTCCAGCTTTAGTAAATAAACCCCATAGTGACAGCCAGTGAGGGAACCTCTCTGTATATACTGCTACCTCAGTGTATACACTGCTCCCCCCTACACAGTTGGTCTGTCACTCATGTGCCATCACATCGGGGACTATTAGCCCCCTATGTGATAGCAATAAAATTATAAGTTAAAAAAAAAAATGTATGTATACAGGAAAGGTAGAAAAAAAAATTGGAGCCTCCCCACCCCCACATATGCAGATGTTTCGGTTTTGTTTTAGGTCAAATACATTCTGAATGTTCGGTATCAATTTCGGCACCAGAATTCTCATTTCGGTGCACCACTACTAAAGACATGTTCCAAAAGTTAAAACTTATCCTTTAATGTTTCTTTCCTGAGGATTGGTGACCAAAACTGAACCTCATATTCATGAGACTGAACCAGTAATTTGTATAGAATTATTAGCTTATCTCTGTGTGTCCTTTTTAAAGTGGTTCTAAAAGCTGTTTTTTTACCTTAATGCATTAAAGTGGTTGTAAACCCTCATATATACCCAGTGAAATGACTGGCCTCAGGAGGTGCACAGAGATTAAACAAATCCCTCCTACATATGTTGCACCTGTCTATCTGCAGTCTTCTCTTCTCTACATCTGTTCAGTGCAGAATTTCTAAATCTTGTCTGAGCATATAGAAAAAAGAGGGACGGAGAGTTGAAATTACACTTCAGAGCTGAGTTGAGCTCTGAGAGCTGTTTGGACAGAAGGGACACATCCCCTTCACACAGCTGACAGGAACAGAGCTGAGGCTGTCAATCTACTGGAGGTCCCTCCCCTGTCACCATTTTTCTCATGTCAGAAAATCTTGCCAGAAGTGATTCATGCTGATAGCAGAGGAACGAAGCAGCACATAAATGACACTAAGTGCTCTGAATAGAGAGAAGTACACATTATAGAGGGATATGCTTTGTTCATATTTCACTTTAAGATAAAAAGCCTTTGGTATGCTGCTTTCCCTGGGGCTCAAGTTGGCAGTCTGGGAGGTTTCCAGGCCTCGTTTCTCCATAGTGGGGCACAGGGGTGTCTTCCTGGCTACCTCCTGGGCTGAAAATGGCTTTCCCTCGTTGAGGATGTAGTTAAGATGGCCGCCGCAGCAAATATGACATCGCTAGTGGATGCTGGGCCAGATGTGGTGCGGCGGCCATCTTGGTTGGGGTTAGGTGGCAGCCTGATGTGATGCCAGGGCGTCAGCGCCGGAAGTTACCTGGTGGTGGCCATCTTTATATTGGGCGGCCACTCTGGTGGTGAGTGCAGGTTCCAGCCTGACTCATTTTAGGACGCAGTACGGAACAGATACCGCCTTTTTTGTTACCTCCAGGATGGTCCAATGACGGAGGACTAAGCCGCACTGACTGAGGCTGCAGATCCGGCCCCAGTCCTCTACCAGTAGGTCCAGTTTGCTGGTCTGAGGCATGATGGAAGCATGGTGACTTTTTAAGCTGGAAGGGTTCTAGCTACCTGGAGGTTGCCGGGGTCTCTCTCCCCCCATATATACTCACCCTAGGGGTCGAATGGGGCCCCTGACGGGAGGGGGTGGTGTCACTTCCCTCTAGCTTTGGGTCAGTGGTAGAGTAGGTATGGGACTTTCTTGATCTTTATCCTGCCCATTTGTTTTCTTTTGCAATTGCCAAACTTAAGAAGACCAAGGAACAGGTTGTGATGGCAACACTGGTCACAAGATGGGAGATCATGTCTTTTCTAGGGTTGATGTTGGCTTCTATCCCAGCTGTTCAGTGGGCCCAGCTCCACATGCCGCCGCTCCAGTCTCATTTGCTGAACAACTGGGATGGCCGAGTGGAGTCCTTGGAGGAACAGATTATCATTCCTCAGATAGTCAAGAGATCACTGCAGCAGCAGAAGTTAAAGGATACACTGGCAGAAGGAAGATTCTGGGAGCCTCCAACTCAGGTACACATAACTATAGATTTGAGTGCAGCATTGATGGCAACCCTGTCATCAGTCTCTGTGGTACACATCAAAGGATCAGACAGCACATTGGCAGATTTTCTGCGCCAGCGACAACTGGATCAGGCAGAATGGGAACTGAACCAGCAAATCTTTGAGGACATCAAATTGAGGTGGGGAGCTACTGCTGTGGACCTATTTGCCTCAGCAAGCAACAGAAAGGTAGAAAGCTTCTGCTACCTAAAGAAGTTGTCTCTAGGAGTAGACTCCTAAGGTTTTCCATGGGAGTTCAATCTTGCCTATGCCTCTCCGCCCACCCAGCTGATCCCAGGGTGCTCGGGAAAGTCTAAATGGAGAAAGCAAGAGTCTTATATAGGGCTTGGTTTTTGGCATTTGAGAAGGCAGATGAACCCCCTTGGATTCTCCCTATGAAGAAGGACTTGCTGACCCTGACAGGCATTCTCCACCCACAGCTTGGCACACTAAAAATCTCAGGATGAATCCTGAACAGCAAATGTTATTAAAGAAGGGATTCACCCCAAGAGTTATAGACACCTTATTAAGCAGGAGAAAACCAGTAATAATCTATTTTAAGATTTGGAAGAAATACACATCCCAAATGTCTACAGATAACAGGGGTCTCTAAGACTTATCAACGGCGTTAGATTTTGTTACAGCATAGGGTGGATGCAGGATTATCCGTGAGAACCCTCAAAGTCCATTCGGCTGCGTTGGTAGTTTTTTTTTTGGACTTGAATTTGAGCGAAAATCCCATGATTTAAGATTAATTTGTTTTTTTTTTTTTTAACCAATTTCTAAGAGCCAGTCCTGCAGATCAGTGGCACATTGAGATCTCTTGACAGTTCTGGAAGCCTTAACCAAAGAACCTTTTGAACCTCTAGAAGATGCTTCAATAAAGCAATTGACTCTAAAGGTCAGGCGGGTTAGTGAGTTACAGGCCTTATCCATCAACAAACCTTTCCTCACAGTGTTCCCATACAGGCTCGCATTAAAGATCGATCTGCTATTTCTATCAAGTCTCATCATTTTATTCCATCTTTCTGCCAAATCCCTCTAACCAGAGGGAAGAAAACTTTGATGGACAACAAAAAAAATGCATCCTCTGCTATTTTGAAGTCCCCAAGTAATTCAGGAGATCTTCGGCCCTCTTTGTCTTGTTTGGGTGTGCACACAAAGGGAACCCTGCATCTAAAAGCTCCATAGTCAGATGGACCAGAACGACGGTTAGTATGCCCTACACTTCTCTAAAGCTTGATTGTCCTTCAATTTTGAAAGCTCATTTTACTTGCTCTGTTGCTACCTCCTGGGCTGAGAGGGCTTGGGCTTCTATTGAGCAGATTTGTAAAGCGGCCATCTGAACCAGCGATTCCACGTTCACGAAGCATTACAAGATCAATCTTGTTTCTGCCCAAGATCTGGCCTTTGGTCACAAGGTCCTTCAAGCTGTAGTCCCACCCTGGGTATGCGTTGTTGGAGTCTCATGTAACCGTCCTGGAGGATGACTTAAAAAAAGGCTTGAGTTATTACCTGATAACTCCCTTTCCAGGAATCCTCCAGGACAGTGGATTCCTGCCCTTGTTTTGGCATATTATGGTTCAAGTTATGTATGATGCTATTGTTTGGATGTCTGTTTAATCCTTGTATAACTGAGGAGCAGCCTCCTGGGAGGCCTTTTTAAATATCTCTGTGCTTGTATTTCCTGTAGAAGGTGAAGCCTATCTATCATGTGACTGTCCTGGAGTATTCCTGGAAAGGGACTCAGACTTTCTTGCTCCTGTTGGAGACATTTCTCCATCCCTTCTTGTCCTAATGGAAACGAAGGGGAAACCTTCCCAATAGAGAAACATGACAGAGGCTGTAACCCTTCTCTTCTCTATCCAAAGCAAAATAAAAAGTTTTGGCTAGTGTTTTTCTGTCTAATATTGCTGAATATTTTGTTACTATTGTTTAGTAATGATCTATTTTTATGTTTTTTTTCAGCTGAAAAAACATGCAGGCCTTTCTAAAAGGAGGTACATCTATAAGCACCAAGCCCCTCAAGGAGAAAACTTCTGCAACCAGTTCTGGAAATGCCAGTGAGGGGAAGAAACCAAAACCTGTCCCATGGGTGGAAAAATAGTAATGAATTTTACCTTTTTATCCTTCCTATGAAAAGCATCTTGGTAGTTTATTTAACATTTATCAAGAACCAGAACTTATTTTAGTTTTGGATAGAATGAGGAGGGTTAATAACTGTCAGAATTTACTGGCATCCAGGGCTTTGTTAGATATCCTCTTACTGTTTTGGGTACAGCCTTTTCACCAGACAGGAAGTGAAGGACACGCTCCTATAAGCAAGACTCATAGAAGAAAAATGCATTTATTCAACCTTTAAAAGGGGAATAATAGAACCCCTTTCAGCTTTTTATTGTTGTCTCTTTCCCTGTTGCAGATTTCCCTTCACTTCCTGTCTGGTAAAATGTATCCAGAATAAGAAGGGAGGGAAAATCTCCTTAACCGCTCCCCACCCGGCTACTGTACATAAATGGCCGGGTGGGACAAGCTCTGTTCTGACTAAACGTACCTGTGCATCCTGTGAGAACCTGTGCCCCCATGCGGCTTCGGGGCTGTGCACTGTCGCAATCCCGTGATTGCTGTGTCCAATCACAGCCATCACACAATGTAAACAGTCATGTGTCTCTGTGTTGGCTCTCCTCCTGAGCTCAGAGAGGGAGATGGCTGCAGCCAGCCTGCTGCTGTCTGTGTGTAGCTGATGATTTTACTGTTTGGCTACACACCGATCACACAGTGCAGCCATCCCACACGAGTGCAAGCACCATTTGTCCCTTGTCCAAGTGCACATGAACATCTGTCACAGTGTACCACTGCACAAAAACATCTGTCAGTGTACCCATGCCCCATCAACATCTGCAATAGTGTCCTGCTGCAACATCAACATCTGTCGGTGTCCCTAGTGGGCTATCAACATTTGTCAATGTGCAAGTGCACAAAAACATCTGTTACGCTGTACCAGTGTTTCAGCAACATCTGTCAGTGTACCAGTGTCCTACCAACCTCTGCAAAAGTGTCCCATTGCAACATCAACCTCTGTCAGTCTCCCTCCACTCCAGGAACTCCATCCCACCAAAGATCCCAGAACTGAAGCCGGCTTTGGCTTACCATAGAGGTCATGGAGGACTGGAAGGTCTCTGATGACCTGTATGGTATATGAAACTGGAAGTGATGAGTGCTGTAGTCACTTCTAAATGGGAAAAGCATCTGAAATTAGCGATCTTGATGTGATCAGATGCTGTTAGGGTAGAGAAGACATCTGGGATCTAATAGACCCCAAATCTCTCCATAAAGAGTACCTGGTGTTGCCTTTTGCTGTCACAAGTGATGTTACATTCCCTGTGACAGAAATAAAGGTGATCGAAAAAAAAAAAAATGAAGGAAACTGTGTAAAAATAAAAATTAAAGCGCCCCCCCCTCCCGTGTTCACGTGCAAAGGCGAAAACACTCATTTTGCTCCTGTACCCATACGCAAACGACGATCACACCACACGTGAGGTATTGCCGCAAACGTCTGAGCAAGACCTCCTCTGTAACTCTAAACTGGTAACCTGTAAAGGCTTATAAAGCATCACCTATGGAGATTTTTAAATAACGTAGTTTGGCCCCATTTCACAAGCGCGCACAATTTTAAACCATGACATGTTTGGTATCTACTCGGCGCAACACCATATTTTTTTTCTGTACAGGCTGGGATGTACTCCTTATGTTGGCTATGTTTGTCAAATGGTGCAGTCAGATAAAAAAAAAAGTACTGCTAGGGGAAAACAAAATTATTGTGTATTCTGTTGCGAGTACATGATATACAGTATAATTACACTTCTAAATAGACACAAAGTTTTAAGGCATTATACATCTACCTTACAGTGTAAGTAAATCCCAAACCTATTTCTGTGTATGTTTTGGCATCATTTCTCCCTAGAGGCAGTTTTCCTCAGAAATCAATTTTTTCTAATTCTGTTGCAGTTTTTTACCTGGTGATCTATCAGTGATAACATTGCAGGCTGGCAGTGTAACGTCATTGCCACACAATTAGCATTGTCAGTCTTCATGTGGCTGTTGGGCTGCATATCTGGTATATCAGATATCGGTTATATCAGTCCAATAATCAACAGAGCTCACATAACAAGCTGTCAACTTAAAGGAGAAATATAGCCAAAACTGTGGATCACAGGAGCGCAGTTCGTTCTGCACTCCTGTGACCCGGTTTCAGCTGACAGCAGGCTGATGTCACTCAGCCAGTCCAGGTTGGGGAAAGATTCAGACTTTAAAGTCGGGATCCACCCCAGAGTCTGGAGCGGCACCTGGCTCACCCTCTGAGTGGTCTGCTGAGAGCCTGAGCATGCTGCTCCCTCCCCCTCCACAACCCAGCGCTCCAGTGAGCATGGGGGGAGTAGCAGAGCAGACAGCGGTGCTTCTCTGCTCACAGAGCGGTGAGAACTTGGCAATCAGTGGTCATGTGATCGCTGGGTTCTCACACTTAGACCCAGCGGAGGACAGGTGCAGCGTTGGTTCATCTACCTAGGTAAGTAGTATTTAGAAAAAAAAAAACCCCACACTTCTCCTTTAACTGCAAATTGTGAGGCAATGTCAGCCTGCAACAAGTGCTGTTACCAGCAGGATCTCCAGGTAAAAAGTTTGCAACAGATTCACAGAAAGCAATTTTCTTAAGAACAACAAATATTCAGGAATGCTGTCATCCCTTCGAATCAGCAAATATCGAATCAATCTGTGCGTTGGGGTTTTACAAGCATCCAGACTGTCCTTTGATATAAATACCATTTTATTGTCACATATTGTAACACTTATGTTCAAAATGGCACACATTTTTAAATGATCATAGCAACAGCTTGTGTTTTAGTATTCTCATGTTCCTACACGTTTCGAGGTATGTTGTTCTTCAGAGAAACAGAGAAGGCACAGAAGAACCCAAGGGGATCACTGAACATTTGATGATAAAACGCCTCACACTAGGGGGATGCCCACCCACCACCATGCATCAGGCCGAGGGATATCTTGTTTGACATGATTATAGATGTCTTACTCTTAGCAGTTATTGAAGTCATTCAACCATTAAAAAAAAAAAAAGTCATAGGCTAGGGTAAAATATGAAGGCTCAAAGTTGTGCAGCAAGTTGCAATAATCAATGCCCATGAATTGTTATGCTGCCTTTAGCAGATACCAAAAGATCATCGGACATCTCCCAAAGTGAGCACAAAGAGGTTAATAGGAAGAAGGGTTAGCCGCACACCGGAGGATAGATGAATATAGTGTGTATTTATTAATCCATAGGACACACAAAACCAGGACATGAATACAGGACCTGTTAATGCGTTTCACACGATCTCGTGCTTAATCATAAGAAGGGCTGACCCTTCTTCATATTGCATCGTGTATGGTGGCGAGCCAGAACCTGCACCTGTTGTGGATTGATCTGGATTGTTTGCCTGAGCGGTATACCTTTTTTGTTCTTTGGAATCAGTACAAAGAGGTTGCTTAAGAAAAATTTACTCAGAGGCATGATGTCAGATGTTCTGAACATATATTTAGGGTTTATATACACTCTAGGGCTCATTCACACCAGCCTGCATGTTAGAATGTTTACATAGTTATTTACTTGGTAAGGCTGAGCAAAGACGCTGGTCCATCCAGTTCAGCTTGAGAGTGTGTGTTTGTCTCTACCATTTTCAGTATTCCTGTGCATTGTTTGCTAACAAACACATCTAAAAGTTTTTTGAGTTTATCTACACTTACTGCTCAAACCATGAAATGGTTTACTGTTCTAACAGTAAAAAAAAAAAAAACCCTTGTGCATTTTAAGATTGAACCACTTCACATCCAACTTCATTGTGTGGCTATGTGTCTTCTTTAGAGACCTTTTATATTAAATGGTTTTCTCCCAATGATCCAGCCCCCGTTTAAAGATTTGTATATTGGGACCATGCCGCCTCCTAAGCATCTCTTTATAAAGTGTAATTTCAATTTTTGTAGTTGTTCCTCGGACCTCCTTCCTGAGGACTGGTGACCAAAACTGGATGGAACACTCAAGCAGAGTTTTGTAGAATTATAATTTTATCTCTTGCGTAGAACCCCCCCCCCCCCCCTTTTTTTTTTTTTTTTAAACAAGGAACATGTATTAGATATGGTGGTAATATACATGAAAAGTGTAGCTTAACTCTCCAGTCAGCAAAAGGAGCTTAAATAAAATTGAATAATTTGCTGTACAAATCTCATTCAAAAACAGCGTCACAGGGATAACGTGGGTCACTTAAAGGGGAGATCTACGCAGAAGGTTTTTTACCTTAATGCATAGAAGGCTTTAGAACCACTTTTAACTGAACACAGCTTCACCTTATTTACTAGGCCCCATTAACAATCCTTTTGCTTTCAGTAAATCAACCCAAATTGTATATATTTTATGTGATGTGAAACCTGTATATACTTACTGCTTGTAATCCATGTGATTCCTCGCATTGTCATTTAGCTCTCTTTGATGATAATTTTTTTCAAAGACATGCAATACTTTGCTGAGCTTATTGTACATCCACCATGTGTTATGCATTAACTTCTCAAAATAAACTTTTAATAGCCCCCTGACTGCTAGTTTAATTTTTTTTTTTTTTTTTTTTTAACCCTGATTTTAATATGTGTGCTGGATATACCAAAAAAGTATAATGCAGTTATAACTAAAGTTGACCATTTGGGGGCAATCTGAGTTAACTTTCTTCCTGTGTTGTTCATATTTTGTATGGCAAATAAAACATTATTTTTTTCTAATCCACTGAGGAACACAGGAATGATATACTTTTGGATTATACTGCCATCTTCAGGAGGATTTGGACACTAACAAAAGACATTCTGTAGCCCAGCCCTGAATGCCTCCATTTGTTTTTTTTTGTTTGTTTTTTTTGCTGGTGTCCTAGTAGTTTTTTTTTTTTTTTCTTTAGCTCTACTGAGAAAAGCATTTATTTCCTTAGCTTTTTTTTTTTTTTAATCATGGATGTCTCACAAATTACCGTCATTGTAGATTCTTTGCTACAGTTCTGCTTGAGCTAGTTTCTACATGG